TATTTTGGATAATATAAGTTGTGCAACTCGGTTCTCTTCTCATCTATCTTTGTCTAATGTGTGAGACTCTTGATCATGGTGTGCAAGGATGATGCGTGACATGTACACACTTGCGTGAGATGGTCTTCAGGACCCATGCAAATTTGGTATCGGAGCAGATGCTCGCTGCACTCATAGCGCTGGCTTGATCAAGGCCGGCGAGAATATGTGGTGATGGAGGATAAGTGAAGGAGGGAGGAAGAGGAGAAGTATTGTGATAGTGGGGGAGGCAGGCTGAAGAAGAAGTGGCGAAGTCTACTTACCTGGAGCATGCGGAGTGTCGTGGAGCATCATCGGCGGTATCTTCAAGAAGAGAGAAGCACCTCCTTTCCCTGAACCTGCATGCATGYGTGTGTCCCCTACCTTCTCTCTCTCTGCCCTCTGAAGGTGACTGCTGCTGGACTGGAAGTCAGGACTGGATCTGGATCATCGTAGTGTGTCAGGGTCTGAGTCGTCAGAGTCTGGATGATCCGAATGCAATGTGTCAGGGCCTGGTCACACTAGATTAGGTGGTCCAGTGTTCTGCAAGTAGGAGTAGATTTCTCTCCTACCCCTCTTAATAGGCAGGCTGGGAATTGTCATCAAGGACTAAAGAATCGATGTGGGAGTGGCTATATGCCACGTCAGATAGCGTGTACCAGGCAGTATACAAGTGATATTGAGCAACGACAGGGCCTGCTAAGCCCGAAAGGAAAGAAAGAGTGACCGTAGTATATCTGCCTGGTTGGATAAGTGAACCATCTGCATCTGACCTTTCTGCGCTTTACTCCATACCTGCATCAGACAACCAGCCAGTTAGTATAAACCAAGCATCTAGGGGAAAGTATAAATACAAGCAAGTTTGGTCCAGGGAGCCAGGCAGCATTAAAAGAAAAAAAAAGAGATATATCCAAGAAACAAGCATTGATTTCAGTTTGAATTAAGTGTTCAGTGTGCGCAGCACCTTCTACAGAAAAAAAAAAAAAAAAAAAAAAAAAAAAAGTGTAGTACTCTATTCACCGCAAGTCAAGACTGAGTCTGGAGTGGGATAGTGCTGTGGTGATCTGGCGGAGGAACCCCTGTGCCGGTCGTCATCATGGATGACTATCCCATCCAGGGCCTGTTGGCCCTTTCTGTCTTGTTGGGGCCGCTGTTCAGATTTATGTTCCCATTGGGGTTCGAACGCATGTGTACGTCCCGCATGTTAATGCGGTCTGGAGCAGCAAAGTCGGGGCCCACACCTGCGGAACAGGCAGAGATTGACCGCAGGCTGGCAGAGAAAAAGAAAGAAAAGGAAGCCAAGAAGAAATAGAAAGAAGAAGACGCAAAGAGAAAGATGAAAGAAAAGATGGACAAGGAGTTAGAAGAAGAGTTGAGGAGTATACAAGAAGAAGAAGAAGAAGAAGAAGAAGAAGAAGAAGAAGAAGAAGAAGAAGAAGAACAGGATGGAAGAGAAGCATTGCAAAGACGTCGTCACCAGGATATACCTGAGAGTAGTACAGCAAACCGGCTTTCCGTTGAGCCGTTGGATTGGGCTGGTCGGTACTACTACTCCAGCGAACCATTGAAAGAGTCTGACGAAGAACGGGATGCGTTCATCGCAAAGTTGGCCACTGTGACAGACACCGTTGAGCGCAATCTGATGTTGGAGGAGAAGAGGGCGGAGCTGAACAGTAAGTTGTTAGCAGCCAAACGGCAAGAGGTGGAAGAAAAAAAGAGGCTGCAGGCAGAAGGGGAAAAATTGCAGAAGGCTTTAGAAGCACAAAAAGAAAAACCCTCTGCGACAGAAGAACAGCTTGCTCTACTCAGAGAGACCGTCCTCAACACAAGACAGGACATGAATTTAATGCGTCAGACCTTGTAAAGGGTAGAAACACATCGGGTTGAGTTTGAAACTGTCTGGAACAACTTCCTAGAGAAGTCAGCTAAAGATGTTGACCAACATGTGCAAACATACATCAGGGCCTTGGACGGACATGTCACTAAGACCTTCACGCCGGAGGTTACAGAGAAAATTGTTAAGGGAGCTGGAGGCGGCGGAGGAGATGGTGATGACGACGGCGATGATGACAAGAAGGGGAAAAGAGATGGGGATTCAAAAGGAAAGCTTCCACAAGAAACAGGGCAGGTTAGTAAGATTAAACTCAAACTGCCGTGGACCTACAATGGAAAGAAGGAAGAAAGTGTTTTGCATTGGGCGGCAACAATCGAAACGTATGTGTATGGACAACGAATTCCATACTGGGACAGGGTGTTAATGGCCACTTCATGCATGGGAGGCGACGCCATGAGCTTCGCCATCTCGCTGCAAAAAGAGGCGGGATGCAGCTTGATGGTAGAGTTTTCACAACAAACACGAATTGAAGATTTCCTTAGAGCAATTAGAGAGAGATTTGAGGACAAGAATTTAGCACGTCGCACAGAGATGCTAATCCTCAACCTCCCTGACAGAAAATGGAAGAGCACCTCTGCCCTGAAAGCAACTATGGATGAGTTATTGCAATGCCCTGACCATGGGTTGACACCTGCTCAAATATTGAACAGTTTTGCACGAGCACTCCCTGATTCCCTAAGGACACAACTTTATCCCCGCGTCAAAGAAGAAGGAATAACGTATGAGAAGTTCGGCAAGATCGCAATAGATCACGCCGGCTTCCTCGCTGAAGCGAACTATTGCCATTATTGGAAGGATCTGCAAGCGGGAAAGAAATGGCAAAACCGCACTATCTCAGGGTCTATACCCGGGAAAGATAGTCTCCTTATAACCTTTGAGGAGGGAGGCGCCGAGACTATTTCTTGGGATCAAGTAGATTATGGTATCGATGAACGCAGCGGACCGGTAGCTCAGGAGGGGAGTTACACGACCGTTGTAGCCCGCGGGGGAGGGCGTCAAGGAAGAGGGCGTGGCCGAGGAAGAGGTCGCGGTTGTGGTGGACGAGGATTCGGCACCCAGAGGGGTGGCGGTGAAGGAAGCCACTACGTGGGAGGAAGGGGAAATGGTCCCTCACAAGGTGGTCGTGGTTCTTACTCCACCTGGGGTAGAGGAAGGGGCACTTGGTATAACAAGTGGGACAAACCGTACCCACCACATCCAGGCCTACCCGAAGGAGAGCCTTGGAAAGAATTGGGAATAATAGAAAAAGTCTGGCAAGAAAGAAAGAAAGCAGACCAATGCCTCAAGTGTGGGGACCCCGACCACATTGTCCCCTATTGCCCTGAYTATAGGGGGGCAAAAGGGAACAACCAGTAGAGGTGCCAGTTGCCTCTACCGGGGCTTTGAATGTTGAAAAATCAGAATCCTCCCATTCGAATGCTCCAATGGCAGAAACTGAAGAGGAAGGCAGTCCCCATCTAGTCCACTATCCAGAGGTGGCAAACGTATGAATCTCTCTAGATGGATCCCTCGCTGGCGTGGGTGATGAGTTGGCCGCTCGTCGCCGAGCCTGGACTGAAATGAGAAAACAGAAAGGACAACTAATAATTGCAGATCTTGAAATAAATAGAATAAGAGTTGGAGGTATGGTAGACAGTGGGTCTACACGCAGTTATATTAGTAAGAAAGGGTTACAGAAATTGCGTCTTGGGCTTAAAGTTAAAAAATTGAATGAGCCCATTGTAAGTAAGCTAGCTAATAGTAGTGAAACTGTTATGGATCGATACATCGAGGGGGTTCAAGTATACTTTCGGCTAGAGGCAGAGGGGAAGGTGGAACGTTTTCTCCACTCTCTGACCTTCTTGGYGGAGGATAACTTGCCCTTTGATGTCTTGTTAGGAATGGATTGAGGTGAGGATGCAAATGTGGATCTGAAGTTGAGAGAGCATGAATGTTGGCTCCCAAGTCCGCAAGGAGGTAAAAAGAAAATTCGCCTCTATCATGAGTCTGGAAAGGAAAGCAGCCTAGCTCACTGTTGCATGAGTGCCCCAGCGTTCGCTCGCCATGTGAGGAAACATAACTTGTATGATCAAGTCTTTGTTGCATATGTGCGTCCAGTAAAGGAAGGAGAAAGTAAGGAAGAAGTCCGGTCTCAAGAAATTGAAAGGATTTTGAAAGAGTTCGCAAATGTGGCTGAAGCCCCAAGCGGTGTAGTCGAAAGACCAATCCGACACCGCATTGATATCATTCCGGGGAGCGCACCCCCGAAGGGGCTTATCTATCGTATGTCGCCCCAGGAGTTGGATGAGCTACGAACCCAACTCGATGAGTTGTTGAAAAATGGATGGATAAGACCTAGTTCCTTGCCCTATGGTGCGCCTGTGCTCTTTGTACCTAAGAAAGACGGCGGCGTTCGCATGTGTATAGATTATAGGAGGTTAAATGATATAACAGTGAAAAATGCCGAACCATTACCGCGAATAGATGATTTGTTGGATCGCTTGCAGGGTTGTAAGATATTTTCAAAGATTGATTTGAAATCCGGCTACCATCAGATTGAGGTTGAGCCGGAAGACCAACATAACACATGAGTTTATAGTTTTGCCCTTTGGTCTAACGAATGCCCCTGCCACTTTCCAAAGAACGATGAACGAACTATTTCGTGAATGGCTTGATAAGTTTGTTGTTATTTATCTAGATGATATTTTGATTTTTAGCAAAGATGAAAAAGAGCATGTTGAGCACCTTCGACTTGTGCTAAATAAACCGAGAGAAGCAAAACTCAAGTTAAACCCAAAGAAGTGTGAATGGGTTAAGCGTCAGGTACTATATTTAGGACATGTAATCGATGGAGATGGGGTCAAACCGGAAGATGCTAAAATAGCAGCAATCAGAGATTGGCCGAACCCCCGCACCTTGACTGAGTTGCGGTCGTTCCTTGGGTTAGCCAACTATTATCGCAAGTTTGTGAGACACTTTACGATAATAGCTGCTCCCCTTCGCAGGTTGCTTAAGAAAGGAGTGATTTGGAAGTGGGATTCAGACTGCACATGTCTTTCAAGCGTCTGAAAAAGTGTTTGATTAACTATCCAGTTATAAAAGTGGCAGACCCTTCCCTACCTTTCGTGGTCACGACCGACGCTAGTCAATATGGTATAGGTGTTGTACTCCAGCAAGACGACGGGCATGGATACAGACCTGTATAATTTATGTCTTGCCGATTGCCTAATGAGAAAGTGGCCGCTTCGACATATGAAAGAGAGTTATATGCTCTTCGTGAGGCTCTCAATCATTGGCAACACTATCTTTTGGGAAGGCATTTTCAGGTATACTCTGACCATGAGACACTTCGCTGGCTTAAAACGCAGGCTCGTATGACACCTAAGTTAACAAGGTGGGCTGCGGAGATTGATATGTTTGATTTTGAGTTAAAGCCAGTAAAGGGTAAGTATAACGTTGTTGCTGATGCACTAAGTCGTAGATCTGATTTTTTCGGTGCCATTGTGACATATTTAGATGTTGGTGCTGATCTGCAAGAAAAGATTAGGAATGCATATCCCTCTGATCCTGTCTATGGAACGATGATTAAGCGAGTACAAGAAACGCCCGCAGAGTTTCCTGATCACAAGGTTACTCAGGGTCTATTGTTTGAAAGGACTGATGTGAATGACAGGCTATGTATACAGAATAATGAAGAGATCAAGAGTTTGATCTTAGGGGAATGCCATGATACAGAAGGCCATTTTGGGTGGAAGAAGACCTATAGGACTTTGTTGCGTTCCTACACCTGGCCTCGAATGAAAGCAGATTGTATCGCGTATGTGCAAGGTTGTCAAGTGTGCCAACGAAACAAAAGCACCATACAATCTCCCCTCGGGTTACTTAAGCCCTTGCCTATCCCTACAGGCCCTATAGACTCTGTATCTATAGACTTCATGGATACTAAGGTAAAAAGCAGAAATGGAAAAACGCAAGTAATGGTCATAGTGGATAGATTCACTAAGTATGTTGCTTTTGTAGCTTTGCCTTCGGAAGCAAAAACTGATTTGGTAATTCGGGAGTTCCTTAACCATTGGGTAAAAGATTTTGGACATCCCTTAACTATTGTAAGCGATAGAGATACCAGGTTCACAAGTGAACAATGGCAGCAACTAATGAATGTGTAAGGCTCTAAGTTGACTATGTCATCAGGTAGGCATCCTGAGACTAATGGCCAGACTGAGCATATGAACAAGATATTGCAGCAAACTCTGCGCATGTACATTCGTCCCGATCAGGTTGACTGGGATGAACATCTGCCTAAAGTTGCTAGCGCCTATAATAACTCTGTACACCTCTCTACGTGTAGGACTCCTATGGAGTTACATATGGGATGGCGTCCACGCAGGCCCATTGATAGGCTAAACCCGGATCAAGTACATAAGCTTCCTCTAGCGACTAGTGAATTTGTGATCCAATATCAGAAAGACATTGAAAGGGTAAAGGAAAATATACTCAAAGCACAGCATCAAATGATCGAACAGGCAAATAAGCACAGGCGACTATCTCAATTTGCTGTAGGAGATTTAGTCTGGGTGAAGTCTAAAGAGTTTGCTCCTGAAGAGAACATTTCTCAGAAGCTTCTACTCGCCTACAGAGGGCCTTGGCAAGTTTTAGATGTAATTGGAGATGTGGATGGTCCTTCGTATGTCATTGAGATTCCTCAACATCTGCACATTTATCCAGTGTTCCACGCATCCAAGCTCTTACCTTGTGTAACGAATGAACTCTTTCCAAGTCGCCGATCAGTGATACCTCCAAGTATGGATGGAAAGTATGACGTGGATAAAATTGTTGCGGAAAGTACTTACCACATTGGACGTAGAGGCAGACCACAGCGTCAATATAAGGTGAGATTTGCATACTAGGATCCTACTGAAGGTCGCTGGTTCACAAGAGAAGAATTATTAGATTCTGCACCTCATATTGTATCTGCATATGAAAGAGGAAAGAGGGGAATCCATATCATTGATAGGTAAATGGTTTCTCAGAGGACTTCGAATCTAGGCCGGCGAGAGTAAAAGGGCCTTTACCCGATACAGGCCTTGTAAAAGTAAAGCATCGTGAAGGGGTACCTCGCCAGGACCCAAAAACGTGAAAGCAGGTCAAAGGTCCAGTTCTATATCAAAAGGCACATCCTAAACTAAAACAAAGGTCATTGCCGAGGGACATATCTGTTCGTCAGGAGATATACATGTCATGTCTGTTCATATATAGGTGTGTCTGTACGTGCAGTCAGTGTGTCTATTCGTGCAAAAAGGGAGTGTCTATTCACACAATGTGAGTGTCTGTTCAAGCGGTGAGTGTGTCTGTTCGTCTAAAGTTGTGCCTGTCCGAAAGTAAGTCAATAGGTAAAGTCCCAGTTCTGGTCTAAGTCGAGGAGACAGTCTAGATCCAGACATCTAAAGTCCAAATCCAGGCCGAGAGGCCTCAGCAGCAGTTGAACTTTATTGGGACAGTACTGGGACACATGCAATGCAGGGCCTGGGACAAAGGAAGGCCTGAAGCAGCCAAATGCAGACCCAGCGAGGAGAGGCCAGCACTATAAAGGAAGCAGCCATCCTCATTCCTCACCAGATCTCCACTGGCATCCTGTGCGTGGAAGTGCTGAAGCACTTGTGCGCCAGTCAGGAGGAGCAGCGCTGGAGGATGAAGATGCGCTATGAGA